TGTGTGTGTGTGTGTGTGTGTGTGTGTGTGTGTGTGTGTGTGTGTGTGTGTGTGTGTGTGTGTGTGTGTGTGTGTGTGTGTGTGTGTGTGTGTGTGTGTGTGTGGTGGATATTGGTGTAAAACTTTTAGTAAGCACTTAATTTTTAGTCCAGACATCTCTGTTGTCCTCTTGACCTTGATAGATCCTTTAAAATGGATTTTGCTCCACTGTTTCCTGCTAAATGATATAGGATATATGTCTTATTAGCATTGACACCGAGAAGGGAGTGAAAAGCTGAAAGTGTAATTAGAGAATAGGTCTTGAAGTACAGTATCAGTGCTTTCAATATTGATGTATCAAGCACAAGGGACAATTCATGCGGGGTAGGCAATTCTGAAACAAATTGTTTGCAGCACCTTTAAAATATTTAACCTTTCATCTGGAATTATAATAACTTTAAAGGGAAATTGTCTGTTGTTGTTGTTAAGAAGAAGAATCCATACAATGTTAATGAAGTCAAAAAAATTATCTTTAGTGTGTATTCAGTGGAACATTAATGATGACAGAATTTTCTTCCTTTTTTTCCTCATAATGTTCATCACAAAATCCGTAGGTGTGATCAAAAAAAAAATGACTACTGCTCGTGTTGCAGCAAAATATCCAAGCCTAAAAGATTCTTTGAGAGAACCGAGGCAGGTCCCTTCATCTGTCCATCACAGACACTCAAAGCTCTATACTTAGTTCAGGTCAGCTGAAGTAGAGAGATGTTTCTGTCTTTTCAGGATGAAAGAACTGAAGAAGCTGGAGTTTGAAGCCCTTGATCTGGTCAGTGCAGCTCCAGTGGAGCAGGAGCACTGGCACCGCTAGATGTGTCTGATGAAGAGAAAGTTGGGTAATTATGGTTGATATTTTTCCACATATCTTGTTTACTAACTGAAATTGAGCCGAAATGACACCATAGGCAGTAGAAAAGTAATGAACACTAAGTAGTTTATTATCAAGGTCAGTGGCATCCACAACAGCAAATATACATAAGCAGCAATGGAGTACGTTTGAGCAGCTTTCGAACCTTTCTCCAGGGAAGAGCCACCTTCAGAGGTGTGCACCAAGCAAACATCGGAGAATGTCATCCATAATTGCCTCCCAGATTCATCTCGCACTGTGCTCAACTCGCTGGCCTGTGTGGAGATGCCGTAGGCTAGCCTGTTTCACAGAAATGTCACAGCTGCCTCTTGTTAGTGCTGCATGCTATAGCAATGATCACCTGCTTGGGCAAAATCATCATTACTGTTGCTCACAATTAGCGTAGGAAGTATTAAACTTCGGTCGGATCATATTAATATACATTACATTTATATACATATATACACTTACAGCAGTTGTCACCCAGTGAGAGGGAGAAAATGTCCCATGCAAAATTATTTCCTGTTTATAAAACAATTTATATTATACGGTTCATTTGGAATGTCCAGAGTCAGTTTTTTGTCCTGGGCAAGGAGAAAATTGTCATAAATTTGCATATATTTAAATGTGAATTATATATCACTTTATATTATGTATATTTAGAATATTTAAAAATATGAACAACTTTTTTGTTTTATTTTATTATTAATATTATTATTACCCTTGCAGCATTTGGCATCCTGTGAGAAGGAGAAAATTATCATAAAACAGCTTTCCCAGTGTGATGCCTATTGTCTGTCAGTCTAATTTAATTCCCCATTAAAATGAGTGACGGTGGGCACTAAATGAATCAGCTCAGGTTCAGACTCTCTGTAACTGCACTGTTGGCCAGCAGACTCATTAAATCAATCTAACCTCCGCCCTCGTTTGACCAACCTCTTCCATGACACTTATGAATTTAATGAACACTCTGTCTGCGTGAGATAAAGGGAGGTGTTCAGCAAGGACAATCTCAGATAGGAGGATATAATGTTCTGTCACTTTCAGTGGTATGAACCATTAAGAAAATCATAAGTTGAAAATCATGAATTAAAAATCATGAATTGAAGTATGCCAGTATAGTTTTAGTTTTGTCACAAAGCTTATAGAGATGGACTAAAAGCCACAAAACTCAACTTTAGATTTTATGAGGCCATTAACTTCTATAGATTGCTAATCATCATCACTCCAGTAGACCAGCGGTTTCCAATTCCAGAAATGGGACCCACTGCAATCCGTGTATCATTTGATCATTCGCTTTTTGATTTAATATTGAAAATGAGAAAACGGCTCCTTTTTAGTTTTTTAGTTTTTTTCAAAAACACGAAAAACGAGAATTCAGCTTAAATTTTCGTTTTTCGTTCTTCGGTGGAAAATGAATAAACAGCTTGAATATTCGATTTCTACATGTGAGTGGGAATTAAATGCCCCTTTCTGCTGATTGGTCAGCCGAAGATCAAACCGTGCCGTCATCAGTTCTTCTGCAGTATCACGCAGCAGAATAATAGTCCTCCACTGCTGCAGTTATGGATTCTTAACGCATTTATTGCAACTACATTTAGTCTTTTTTCATCAAACAAACAGGCTAATGAATAGCTCGAAACAACTCATACCTGGGCAGAGTCTAGACAGGGCTTTCTTCTGTGTAGATATAAATTCTATTCTTTGCATCAGCTGGGCATGGTAGGGTATGATATGACAGCTGTCATAGCCTACCCTGCTCACCCAGTAAGTCTGTTTGTTTAAGTAATTAATTAATTAATTTGTTTCAAAATAAATATTTTAAACACTAAGACAAAAAGGAAAGAATAATAAATTGACTTGGGTATATATAGGCCTATGTTCACGCAAGAACTGTCATTCTGACTGACAACCGGAGAACAACAGATATTAAATAGCCTACTGTTAGAGTTATATAATGTAGTATTGGGTTTTATTAAAATTTATTATAATTGATATCTCAAAAGGATGCACTGCAACGCAATATTTTCATAAAATATAATAACTTGCCATTTCGGTTTGTTTCTCACCAAACCCTCAGTATACCTTCAGAATGCTTGGAATATACGCCACGAGATGCATAGGATTATTTTACGACAGATATGGCAGAGTTTAGCTCCAACTTGCCTCAACACACCTGACTGGAAGTTTCTATGCCTAGTAAGAGCTTGATTAGCTGGTTCAGGTGTGTTTAATTAGGGTTGGAGCTAAACTCTGCAGGACACCGGCCCTCCAGGACCGAGTTTGGACAGCCCTGTCTTAATTTGTGTTCCGAAGATGAACGAAGGTCTTAAGGGTTTGAAACGACATGAGGGTGAGTAATTAATGACAGAATTTTAATTTTTGCGTGAACTAACCCTTTAATCGTGCAGTGTAAAGCTTCTTTGATTATTAATTAACTTTGTGAGATGGCGGTGATCTACAGTAAGATGAGTGACCGATTTCCAGTGATTATAAGGGGTGCGCTCATTGCGCACTATAGGCTATAATCCATTCAGAATTTACATACATTCACTCACGGATTCACTCTTATCAAATATTGCCACTTGCTATTGTGTTGCATATACTACATCAGTTAACTAGGCTAAGTGAAGGTGAAGCAGGTGCTTGCTCAGTGTCGACACGTGCCCGCGAGTAAACAAATACTGTATGTGTAGCATTATTTTTTATGATAGTATTAATCAGTTAAAATTCTTACTTTTGGTTAACGGTTAAACGGTCAATATGAGCATCCCTAACACAAATAAAATGTACTTCATTACTTTTCGTTCATAAACGAATGTGTGAAATCTGTGTAAAAACAGCTTCACATTTTGAAAAATACATTAAATTTTGAAACTAAAGACTCAAACTCTTTATCTAAAACAGTTTCACATTGGCTATTATTTTGAGGCAAGAAATCACAGGTGAATAGGTAAACAGATTTCACCATACTTCACCAGTTGGTTTTTTGTATTACAAATTTTCTGAAATGTTATGTTTAAATACGCAAATGAAGCATTATCTATTTAAATATGCACTAATTTGCATATATTTCCAGAACATAAATCTGAACATTGGATAAAGGCGAGTTAAAAATTATTTTAGTTTTTTGTTGGAATATTGAAGGTTTTCCCAGAAGAGATTTTGGATTTCTCTTTTTATCACTCCATAAATCAGAAAATACTGTCAACAGACAGAAAAAAAACACATGTTTTTAGGAGTAAAATGTTGTATAAATCGGTGTGAATAAATCTGAACAAACCTCTCTGTAAAAACCTTCAGAATATAGATAGGGAAAAAATATGAAATCTACAGACACAAATAGATAAAGTGCAATAAAATAAACACTTAAATGTGTATTTTGAATGTTTTCTTTCCACTAGCTTAAAACGACACATTATGGAAAGCCAAATGGCTCAAAATCTCAAAACTGACCAGTGCATGTAAATCAGTGTTTCTGGCCATAGCGTCTCTCAGTAAATCCTGCTGACGCTCTTTAATCGCTGCGTTGTGTTTCATGTCTCCAGCCTCCTGGTCGTGAGAAGCGCCGCAATGTGAATTCTCTTCCTCTTCATAGACACTGTGACTTCGGTCTCGCCGAACGCCCCTCTCTTCTCGTAGCACGGCCCTCCCTAGTCGCCATCCCTAAACCCTAGCGTGCCAAAACTCATTCAGGGAAACTCTTTCCACATCACGGTCCACCAGAAACCCCAGCGGCGGTCGAGAGCTTCTACTCCAGCGCACCATTGTCCAGTCAGGAATGGTGAAGAAGGCGGGTTTTTGGAAGTTCATTTCATTGGCGTCTCTGATTGGGTCAGCAAACTGTGGATAATTATCGGACGATCGCGGTGGATTGTGCTCTGGTAAATGGGACTGTGTCTCTCAGTGCCTTAATTTTCAGATCCCACGGGCCGAAGCGGCAGCTGCGTTTCGATGGACTCGGAGAAAGACGCCTGGATGTGACGGGACGTGAGCCCTGATTCGGGTCGGCCCTGAGCCATACTGACAAGTGCCCTGTCTTTCGTAACAGTGACGTAGCCATTTTTTTCTCTCTCTTTCTTCCTGGATGGAGGAATGACCCATGCATCTGGAGTCTGGTAGCAATATCTGTGCTAACGGATCAAGATTCACTGTAGCCTGTCACATGACGTCAAGATAATTTATGCAAGTGCATCTTGTTTTAATTGTGTTGACAAATCTGGGCCTTAATTCAACACATGACTGACTTCTGTGTGTCTTCATGTAGGGCGAATCTCATCAGAACATCTCAAAATCAGAAGACAAAATACTAAATGATATTTTGCATAAAGAAAATTAAGTTTTTGGGGGGGAATTAATATAATGCAATTATTTTTATTGAAATCTGGCAGTACAACAAATGCTCCCATGATGAGTAAATACATTTCAATTTAATAAATTAATGATATTCAGTGTACTGCTTATAATTTGTTGAATTTATTTAAAATAATTACATTATATTAATTTATATAAATATATTATATAAATTGAATGGCTGTACAACAAATACTACCATGATGAATAAATACATTACAATTTAAATAAGTAATACCTACAATTTTACTCCTTCAGTATAAGTATTTGTGCACTACAATATTAATTGTACTGCTCTTAAATGCTGATTTAAATTTTTTAAAAATCATTGTATTCCTGTAATAAAAATCATCACTGAGAATAATAAAAAATGGAAAACTCAAAAGTAAAATTTCCATTTAAATCGGCATAATTTAATAGCAGTACAAATACTACTGTGATGAATAAGCATATTACAATTTAAATAATAAATAATATTTACAATTTAAATAAATTGTATTTTTCCACTTGATGACATGTTTTCATGACAATAATACACATTTCCCCCTTCAGTAAAAGTATTTATACACCACGATTCATGATATTTATTGTACTGCTATTAATTTATGCAGTTTTTTTTTTTTATCATGACTGAGAATAATAAATAATAAAAACAAAACTCAAAAATACTACTATGATAAATACATTACTATTTGAATAATGTCATTTTCGATTATATATAATTTAGATTTATTGAAAATGTCAAATAAAAAAATAAGTAAATGTTCATTTCTTAAGGATCCTAAAATGCGCTGCTACTTTATGCAAAATATAATTAATAATTTCTTTTGATTTTGTGATTGGCAGGTTTTGTGAGATTCACCCTTCAGCGTTTTCTGTAAGCTGTAGAGTCATGTGACGTCATTTAGGGCTCCCTCTTGTTTAAAAACATTGTACATGCATCAAGAGACAAACATATGATCATCCAAATGATTCTCATATTTCACCTTAAATCAAGGAAATTAATTCTCAGGATTATTAAGATTTGTCACATACTTTCATGACAATAACACACATTCTTCTCGCCCCTTTGATAGAATTTATACATCATTGTAGTATCAGTTGTACTCTTAATTTATGCTGATTTAAATTTTAAAAACCATTGTATTCCAGTCATAAACACTGAAAATAATATTTAAAAAAGGAAAACTCAAAAGCAAAATGTGCCCGATTGTTGTGAAAATAATGTCACAAATCTTAATGCTCCTAAAAAGATTGTTCTTCATGTAAAATAGTTTTATTTTTGGTATTTGTGATGAAATGTGATTCAGGCGAATAATTCTCTCAGCGTTTGTCTTAAATTCACGTGTAGCTGCTGGAACAAGGTTTGATTCTCTTACCATCTTTGGGATTTTATCACCAGTTTCTCAATCTGTTTAATGTAAATCATAGAGTCAGAACGGCATGCGTGTGTGAATGATATCATAAACACTCTGGGTCACATTTCAGCTGCTTTTCTCAAGATCCACATTATTTTTTGGTGGTCGTTCTCCAGTAGGGCTTGAGGCTTCACATGGACACGCTGCTAACTAGTTTTTTTTAAAGTTACTAATCACAGATTCGACAAGGATTTTTATTTATTTTTTGTTAGAGATTTACACTCATTCCCAGTCTCAAGGTAAAGCCTTATGTGTTTGAGTTTATCTGAAGGCTTAGTTTTGGTCAGCTGTGTTGAATTTGACCTGTGGACTAGTCAGAAGCTGATTTGGACTTCAGAGTATTACCGTAGTCGACCTGGCATATCAAAGGTGCCATAATAGCTTTAAAATGCTGCTAATCATGTATGTTGATGGCGATGAGAAGCGCTGCATTACTGCAGGTTTTCTGGTCACATGAGAGAAGATATGAGAAGATATTCCACATGTTGCATGGGAAACGCCACTATTTTAAAAAAGCCTTACCAGATATTAGATCATTTGCAAAACTTCTTTTACAAGATATCGTTTAGGTAAATAATAAATCCATGTTTTGCTGCTTTGTGCAAACTTCTGTTTCCAGCAGATCTGAGCCTGATGCATCCAACCGGATCAGTGATTGTCAATCAAAGCTTTTGATACACAAGACTGAGTGTCATTTCTGTTTGTTTGTTTAATTTGCTACCAAACTCCATCAGGTACCGATCTGTCTGATCTAGTTCCATCCTCACAGCAGTCGAGAGGAACTTAACAACTAGTTACGCAAGTGAACTTCCTGAAGAGATGCAAACGAAGCAAACAGGAACTTGTATGTGTTGGATCTCAATGTGAAAGGTTAACAGTGGCCACCAGGATGATCAGTTTTTTTTTTTTTTTTTATGATTTAGAGATATTGTAACATTCCATATGTGTAAAAAAAAACTATGTACAGAGATAATGAGATTAAAAAAGCTAAATCTTTTTAAGCGCAGATCTTTACAGGCTTGTCTGGATGTCCTTCTTTTTAATCATCTTTAGTACGGTGACTGAACGCGTGAAATTATTTCTTAAATTGACAAAAGCACCATTATAAGTGTTCGAGTGTCGCTTTTTTCAGAGCAAAATACATATGTAAAATATATTTAAAAATCCTGATAACACGAAGCTTTTATGTATAATGCATTATAAGCACATTCATAACGTGCATTGTAATGCATTATATGTTTTTGTAAATAATTGTAACCAAAGTTAAAATGCATTATAATATTGTAATATAATATCCTTATTACATTCCTTGGTGGTTTGTTGTGCATTTTAATGCATTTTACTTTCTAAAGGTGTAACAATGGAACAAAAAGTATTGTAATTATGCTTGTAATGCATTATAAGGTGCATTACAAGGCATAATTAATGCATTAAAAATAGTGATGCACCGATAGCACTTTTTCCAGAATGAGTCTGATAGCATACTTTCATTTTTGGTACTTGCCGATACCATAACTGTATTTGCATTGCATTTGTATTTTTTAAAAACATTGGATAGAAAAACCAAAGTATTTTCAGCTATACAGATGTGAATATTGAATGTTTAACATAATATATTTTGACATATATATTTTTATTTTATATATATATATATATATATATATATATATATATATAATATTATATATATAATATAGAAATAAGGAAACCCAGCTAACAGGAAACATTCTCAGAACATTGACTGGGGTTCTGGGAAGGTTCTCTCAATGTTAACGTTACTAAAACGTTCGTTCAACGTTATCTGGTCTTTAATAAAGTTTAAAACGTTAGCACAAAAAAGTTACTTATACATCATTCGTGGAACGTTTTCTGAAACATTTTAGTTGGACTCTGGTCTAACATTTTTCAAATGTTACTAATTGTTTCAGAACTTTCTGAGAACAATCAAAAGTAACATTCCCATAATGTTTGCAAATTATAAAATGGAATGTTTCCTTAATGTTTGTATATCCTTCAACGCGGAAGTAAGCTGTGAATGTGTGAGACTTCCGGTTCACTGGCCGCTGTAGGGAAATAACGAGAAGTGCAGTGCAAAGTGCAGTAAATGGTCAAAATGTTTGCACTACAAACCAGTGTGTAAGATAATACATTCAAATAATATGGTAAGACACACCAGTTTGCAATATCAAGGAGCAAAACAAGCTGTTTTGTATATATATATACAGTATATATATATATATATGTGTGTGCATATGTGTGTATACATATACACACACACACACACACATATATATATATATATATATATCAATTATTGACTATTACATGATTATGTGAAAATGATAATTGACACTGATTTGATTAGAATTATAATATTGTACATCTCTCACAACATAACTATCATAAATAAATATCTCGCTTCAAGCACTGATTGATTGATCGATCGATCAATTTATTCAAATGATATTAGATATTTAATTATGCATGCTCATTTCATTTTTTACATTTAAGTTACTGTCATTAAATTATTCCTTAGTTACATCTTCAAAAACACTAATAATTTAATTGCACTGTTAACTGTAATCACTATAATTATAATCAATATCAAAATGAATATCCTTTTTCTCAGACTGTACAATATAATTTTGTATGTATAGATAGATGGCTTTAAAGGCTTTTAAACTTAATCTAGGCATTGCACAATTATATTGTACATTGTACGTGTGTGTGTGTGTGTGTGTGTGTGCGCGCCATTTCTAGGCATAGGCTAGTTAGGCGGTCACCTAGGGCGCCACCAGCTGAAGGGGCGCCAATGAGCGCACATACTGGCACTTTTAGCAGGGTTGTGATAAAGAGTGGCACGGTCACCCTGAAATATGACTGCCCCCACTGGATCCCCCAACATTATTGGGCTAGAGTACTGTCCATCTGACGATGCCTGGTGAAATATGTAATGTAATGCGTGTTGTAAAGATTGCGAGTGAAAACAAAAGAAAAAGAAAAGCTTACAGATGCATGAGTCGTGACTGAGCACTTGCATATTATTGCTCTCTTGTTGGTTTTGATTGTTTCTTTTGTCATCATTTGTAAGTTGCATTGGATAAAAGTGTCTGCTAAACGACTAAATGTAAATGTTAACATATTAACTACATACATGTACTTTGTAGACATCCTTAATGTCTTATAACTCCATTCTGCTCTCTGTTGTTCTGTTGATGGTGTTTCTTTATCTGAACACAGCTCTGTTCACACACTTTTGGTATCGGGGCATTTTAAAGCACGAGTACTGGAGCGCAGTATCAGTATTGGTATCAGTGCATCCCTAAATAGGCTTTAAGTAAAGTATTACCAAGAGTTTCATCTAACTATGTTTGTTCTGGCTTCAGTGTGAAACTCGCGTCAGAGCCACAGTAATAAACCTGGAAGTTTTGAATCGTGTTGCCTTCACAGCCAGTGGTGCTTCTGTTACTGAAGTAAACCAATGTCTGTGGCATGACACCAGCTTCCTTATTTTCTCACAGATTCTTTTCTCAAATCATGTGTTTTACTGGTTCTTCTCAGTGGAAGCGAAGCCTCTTGTCGCCCTCATAGAGTCCTTCTTCTTCAGAAACCCGGTTTCCTTTAATACTGTGAACGAACCAGAAAATGTGGAAATGTGTGAAACTGGAAACCCTGATCTGCTCACATAAGGT